CGCAGCCCTGCGGCCCGTGTTCCGGGCGCGGGGCATGACGGAGTCGCTGCACACCTGGCAGGACCATGGCTGCTTAGCGACCTACATCAGCGCGAGCGGCAGCTTCGCCAACTTGAGAATTTACCCGCATGGCTTGGTGTCGCTGGACCTTCAGAGCTACGGCGGCGATGCGCAAGCCACGGAGGTGGACGGTCTTCTGAACGAAGTAGAGGAAAGAATGAAAGACCTGAGTCGGGGCAGCCCTGGGAGGGCGAAGCGCTTGCCACCCATAGTTCGAGGAGGGGCCATCGACCGGTACTGGCCCACGGCCGACGGCCGCCTGGTGGAGTACGACATCGACGAGGTGGTGTATGATGAGGACTCGCCCTATCAGAACATTAAGATCCTGCACTCGAAGCAGTACGGGAATATTCTCATCCTGAGCGGGGACATCAACCTGGCGGAGAGCGATTGGGTCTACACCCATGCCATCATGGGCAGCGGCAGAGAGGATTACGCTGGCAAAGACGTGCTGATCCTGGGAGGCGGGGATGGAGGCGTCTTATGCGAAATAGTCAAACTGAAGCCCAGGATGGCCACAATGGTCGAGATTGACCAGATGGTGATCGACGGGTGTAAGAAACACATGCGGAAAACGTGCGGCGACGTCCTGGACCAGCTGACGGGAGACTGCTACCAGGTTCTGGTGGAGGACTGCGTTCCGGTGCTGAAGAGGTACGCCGCCGAGGGCAGAGCGTTTGACTATGTGATCAACGACCTGACGGCGGTTCCCATCTCCACGGCCCCGGAGCAGGACTCCACGTGGGAGTTCCTCAGGCTGATCCTGGACCTGTCCATGAGGGTCCTGAAGCAGAACGGGAAGTACTTCACGCAGGGAAACGGTGTCAACCTGACGGAAGCCCTTTCACTCTACGAACAGCAGCTTGGATGCCTCTACTGCCCGGTGGAATTCTCCAAGGAAGTGGTCTGTGTCCCTTCATACTTGGAGCTGTGGGTATTTTACACCGTTTGGAAGAAAGCTCAGCCTTGAAGATCAGTATGCCCTAATCCTGAATGTTGCAGATAGCCTTCCTGACCTGCACAGGCTGCACATGCCATGGAATGGAGTCAGGCGGTTGCTGGTGAATTTCTTCAAGTGTTTTGGGGTTTTTTTTGGTCTAATAATTACTTTTAATTTAAAAAAGCAAATGGAAAATGTATGTTTTTATGAGCTAGGGTGCTTTTGTTTATGAAAGCCAGCTGAAGATAATGAGACAGCTTGAAGAAGGCTGCTCAATGAACCCCTAGAATGTGATTTTGTTACTCTTTAAAAATGTATGGGCTTTTCTTGTGTTTTTTTGTTTTGTTAGACTTTGAATTTGATTGTTTGGAGGAATGAATATCATTGTTTTGTTCTGGAGGAAAGTCTCTATGATGTTCCCCCAAAAGTTAACTTAGATATTAAAATTTGGTGCTTATGCCCAGCTGGTGTGGCTCAATGGTTGAGTGTCATCCTATGAACAGGGAGGTAACTGTTCGATTCCCAGTCAGGGCACATGCCCGGGTTGCAGGTTTAATCCCCAGTGGGGGGTGTGCAGGGGGCAGCCAATCAGTGATTCTCATCATTGATGTTTCTATCTTTCTCTCCCTCTCCCTCTTTGAAATAAATTAATTATATATATGTAAATTTGATGCTTATAAGAAATAGTTAAAACGGAATGAATTAGCAATGCATTGATTAAAATTACAAATGAGAAAAATATGAAACAAAGAAACCTTTCTCACTTTAAAACTGATGCCCAGAATCCAGCCCTCTCTATGTCTATCTCACAAAACAGCAGGGGTCTCATATCTGAGAACACATTCTGGCCCAGATCATTGTGTGATAATATAGACAGAATAACCCTTTCCTAACTTAAGTAACTGGGGGACTTTATAGTTTATTTTTTTATTGTGATAAAATATACATAAAAGATTACCATCTGAACCATTCTCAAGTACACAGTTCAGTAGCATGAAGTGTATGCACATCATGTGAGAACATCTCCAGAACTTTTTCATACCCATTAAACAATTCCCCATTTCCCCTACCCCCAGCTCCTGGCAACTATCACTTTCTCTTTTATGAATTTGACTACTCTTAGATACCTTATATAATATAGTTTATTTTAAAAGAACAAAAAACAGGCCTAGCATAAAGAAAGGAGCCACCCTTGGTTTTAAAAGTAAGCATCTAAACATTGACTCCAAAGCCTGTGCTCTTCCCGTGTGTCCTTCCTTCCTTCCTTCCTTCCTTCCTTCCTTCCTTCCTTCCTTCCTTCCTTCCTTCCTTCCTTCCTTCCTTCCTTCCTTCCTTCCTTCCTTCCTTCCTTTGCTTTTTCCTGCGTGGTCTGTCCGGGGAACACCTACCCAATGTTTATTATGAGCTCACATGTAATCATCTTTCAAAAACCTTTCTGGACTCTCTAGACCCTACTCTAGTTTTTCTTTGTGACATGCTTTACCCCAAATCTACAATTACTAGAATACTTTACTAAACTATTTTGTTTATATCTAAGTTACTTGAGAACAAGAACTATATCTAGTCCATCTCTGTATTGCTAATACCTGGCACAGTATGGACAGATGTAGGTGTTTGGTAAATGTTTGCTGGCTGGCTGGATGTCTGACCAGTCGGCACTGTGATTTTCTTCTACTTACATCATCACATAAACCGTCAGAAACGCAAACATTTCATCACATGCTGGTTGAGTGGGAGAAGCACCTTTGTTACTTGTCATTGTGAGCCATGCGTGGGTCCCTTTTCCTAGCGAGGCTCACATAGCCTCCTAAAGTCTTCACTACCTTCCTAAGGCTGAGGATAAAACGAACCATCATTCTGCTAAGGAGCCACGCTGTTAGCTTTGGGACAATTAGCAAGACTATAGGTCCCAGCCAAACTGACATTTTTTCAGCCTGGACCCAGTGGTTCAGCCCTTCCTCCACACAGGACTAGGGCTAGGCGGAAGCTCAGAAGGAAGAGGGGTTGGAATTGCTATAGCTTCATCTTCCCATTCCAGTTCCACATTTTTATGTTTCCCTGATATGAGCTCTAAACATAACAGCTTAGTCCAGTGCAGGCCACCCCAGTGCCTGTGGGGCTAGCTTCTGCTTATCTTGGTGCATTCCAAGCCATCAGTGTGCTTCTAAACTCTGAGACTATGTATTGAGAAATACTGAAGAGATGAAAAACATAATTGTCCTGACCCTCCATCTCATCCAGTGTCTGAGGTTGCAGATTTTTCTTGAAATTTCTGGGTTACTTTTCAATTAGGATCAGATACAGAGACCCAGATAACAGGGAATCAACCAGAAAGTTAAATGCCTTCACATTAGCAACAAACTGAATTATCTAGGAATTAACCTAACAAGGAATGCATGAAACTTATGAATCAACCAGAAAGTTAAATGCCTTCACATTAGCAACTAACTGAATTATCTAGGAATTAACAAGGAATGCATGAAACTTTAAGAAAAACAAAATTTAACAAATAAAGAGATGAACATTATATGCTGGTGAAACAACTATGCAATAGTTAGAACCACAACATAGAGGTACTACAGCACTATGGACAGACCTTTAAAAACAATGTTGATTGAAAAATCTAGAAAAGACTAAGGTTTAGAATCTAATATTATTAATTAAAACTACAAACAACCCTGGCAGGGTAGCTCAGTTGGTTAGAGCATCATCTCAATAAACCAAGGTTGTGGGTTTGATCCCCATTCAAGGCACATACAAGAATCAACCAGTAAATGCATAATTAAATGGAACAACAAATCAATCTCTCTCTCTCTCTCTCTCTCTCTCTCTCTCTCTCTCTCTCCCTCTCTCTCCCCCTCTCTCTTTCTCTCATCAATAATAAAAATTATAAAAAAAACACACGCACTACAAATAGACCAATCTATGTGGTATAAGACCAATTCTACATGGTATAGAGTTAATATCTGTTTGGGTAAGAGAGCGGGGAGGCTAAATATAGGGTGAAAAAATAAAGCAAGACTTTTACTTCTAACCACAATAGAATAACTGGGCCTGGGTTTGCCCTCCTGGTACAAACAAGTAGACAAAATACATGAAACAACTGTTGGCTAACGACATTGGATAACAAGCTGCGCTGGACTGTGATTTCTAGAGAGAAGGGAACAGATGAGACGATCTCAACAATTGCCTTACATTTCTGCCTGGAGACACTTTCTGAAACGAGGAAAGGCAAACCCAAGCTGAGCCTGGCAATATTGCATTGTTGAGAGAACATAGATTGAGGTTCATGAAGTGTGAAAATTTGTGGAACAGTAAAATGGAGAGGAGGAGGAGAAGAGGGAGAGGGAGTGAAGGGGAGGAAGAAAAGGAGGGAGAGGAGAAGGACTATTCATAGCTTTAAATACTGGTATTAGAAAAGAACCAAAGTACAATATTGGTGGACTAGGCTTCTATCATAGGAAGCTGGAAAAAAGAAGGAAATAAATTTAATAAAAATGTAATAAGTAGAAGAAATAATAAAAAGTGGAAATCAATTACATGGAAAATAGGCAACCAATAGATAAAACCAAGAAAGCCAAAAACTATTCTTTATTTCAAATACTGACAACATGGATAAGCTAGACTAAGGAAAAATAAAGAAGACACAATTATAATGAATAAAAATGGGACATCATTACACCTCATACAGACATTAAGTGGACAATAAGGAAATATTACAATTTTGTCAACAAATTTGACAATTTAGACAAAATGGATAACTTATGTAAAAATACAAATTTCCAGAACTGAAAAAAGGTGGACATTCTGCCATGCTTTATATCTATATAAACATTTAATTTTTAATTGAAAAACTTACCATAATATAAAATCTCTAGGCCCTGATGGCTTTTCTGGTTATTCTGTCAAACATATAATGAAGAAAACACCAATCCGACATGACTCAGAAAACAAGTGGAGGGAAGTATAAAGTATATCAAGTATATAAAGAAAATGGAGTGCTTTGTATATAGGCCCTTTCAGAGTTGTATGTGTTGCAAATTTATTTTTTCATTGTATGACTTGCCTTTTTCAGTCCCTTTATAGTGCATTTTGATAACTAAAAGTTACTTAATATTGTCTTTTTAACATTTCATTGTTGTCAAATGTCTCAGTCTTTCCCTATATGGTTAGTGCTTTGTAAATGCCACTTAAGACATTTTTTCCTAATTAGATATGTCAAGATATTTTCTTATAATACCTTCTAGATCAGTGCTGTTTAACCAGAAATATGAAGAAAGCTACATGCATAATTTAAAATTTTCTGATACCTAAGTAAAGAGCAAAAAGAAACAAAATTAACATTTAAAATGTTTTCTTTAACCCAATATATCTAAACTCTTATTTCAACATAAAAATTAGTGCAATTTTTAAAATGCCGAGTGTTTAAAATTCAGTAAAAAATTTACACTTAATAGCACATCTCAAGTGCTCAATAGCTAGGCATGACCACAGCAATTCTAGAAGAGTTATTGTTTTTACCCTTTCACATTTAGATCTTTCTTTTTAAGCTGTGTTTTTATTTTTATTGCTAACCCTCAAACATTTCTTTTTTTAAGATATATTTTTATTGATTTCAGAAAGGAAGGGAGAGGGAGGGAGAGATAGAAACATCAATGATGAGAGAGAATCATTGATCGGCTGCCTCCTGCATGCCACACACTGGGATGGAGCCTGCAACCTGGACACGTACCCTTGACCAGAATCAAACCTGGGACCCTTCAGTCTGCAGGCCAATGCTCTATCCATTGAGCAAAACCGGCTAGGAATAGATCTGTTTTATGTGAAACTGAATTTTGAGAGTAGTGTGATCTAGAAGTATACGTGAATATTTTTTCATGAGAGTTTCCAATTGACCCAGAACCAATTTATAAAAAAGACTAGGGGCCCAGTGCAAGAATTCGTGCACCTTGAAAGGAACTGTGTTCCGTGAGGCTGTGGTGGGCACAGGGGTGGGTCTTGTCGCATCTTCCACGCCCCCGCCTGGCCCCTCCCGCCACAGCCCCTGGTCTCCTCTCTGCTGGCAGCCCCGCTCCCGCTGGCACCGCTCCCATGCATTGACAGCTCCAGCCCCACTTGCACCTCTGACAGTGTGGAGCAATTGGGGCTAGCGCCAGCAGTGGGTGTGAGCCAGCAGTGGGTGTGAGCGGGCCCGGCACCGTCAGAGGGTGCAAGCGGTGGCTGCTGCCCCGATCGTCCCTCAGGAGCAGGAGCAGGTGGAGAAGCCCTCAGGGCCAATTGGGGCTGGTGGCCACCACTCGTACCCACTAACCACTAACAGCACCGAGTGATCGGGACTGGCGCTGGCAGTGGATGTGAGCAGCAGCTCCGGAACTGGTAGCGGGTGCGAGCGCCGGGCAAAACCATGGCACGTGGGAGCAAAGAATTTTCAGTAACCACCAGAGGCTTGCCCCGATGACAGCG